AGTTTATTTATTGCAGTGCTGGGGATTGAACCCAGCACCTTGCACACATTAGGTAAATACTCTACCAATGAGCTACATCTCCAGCCCACTTTTCTTCTTTAAATTAATTTGGTACCATCTACTTTGGCCTTTTCCCAAACTATTTGTGAAACCACAGGACTCCTGTACACTTGAGAAATAAAACATACTAAATAAAACATGCAATTATTAAAAAGAAAAACTTTCTTCTCCCTGCCTAGGAGCAGCTTTGCTCTGAGGGGTTGGTCTATGGCCCCAGCATGAATAGCCTGCCATCCTCATCTGCTACTGGCACAGCTGTGACACCTCAGGCCTGAGTGTGGGTGTCTCCCCAACACCTCTGCAGGAGGGACAGTGCCATCCTGGGTGCTCCTGCAGTGAACTTGGGGAGCTCTGCAGATGCAGATTCTTGGATGCACATACTGAAGTCTTCATTCAGTAGGTCTGGGAGGGACCCTGAATTAGGGATTGAACCGAGGAAGTGCTGAGCGGTACCCCCAGAACTTCTCATTCTCAGATTTTCACATAGGGTCCCAATAAATTATCTCGGCTGGCCTTGAACTTAAGATGCTCCTGTTTCAGCATCTGGAGTAGATGAGATTACAGGTGTGTACCACCACGCCTGGCTTGATTCGGTATTTAACATACCTCTCAGACAGGCATCTGGCTGTGCAGTTGAAGTGGGGCACCCTGGATCACTGGACCTCTGGGTATCTCCCTAACAACAGGCCCACATGTACAACCTCTGGGGCAGGATGCTGCTGTGGGAACCTGAGGCTGAACCAGACCTCCATCCTGGGCCACCTGGTCACAACTCCCTTGGGCTCTAAACAGAGCTTTATGGAACTCCAAGGACCTCAGTCTTGGCCTCTCCTGGCACCATCACCTGGTCAGGGGGCAGGGGAGAGACACCCTTTCTCCCCTTCTCACCGTCAGGGCCTGGATTGCCTCCCACTCCTGTGGGGATTGGATCTTGTGGGCCAGCAGCCGGGTAGCAAGTGGAGGCCTGCGTGAAAAGAACAAAGCCAAGATTGCAGTGGAGCCCAGGCCCTCTACAAGAAGGCCACTGTATTAGCCTGCAGGGACTTCAGCCCTCTACAGTTTCTGCAGGGCACAGGGAAAGGCCCAGCTTGCTCTGTGGATCAGAATGGGATGGTGGCAGGACAGCCAGGCAGAGCCACTAAGAGGTGTGAATGCAGCCCTTCTGCTGGCTTTAAGAACCACATGTTCTGTCTCTGGTTTGCTATAGGGACAAGCAGAGCATGCGACCACAGCCTTCAGGGACCCAGTGTAGGAGCAATTTGCCATGACAGCTGGGCAGACACAGCTCTCTGGGAACTCGTGGCAACAAGAGCCGTTCTGCTTGGGGAAATTAACCACTCCATGATGGAGGTGGTGACGGTGCCTACCGGATGCTAAAAGCCCTATCACCAGTGGCAGTGACGACTAGCACTGTCGGGGAGTAATAGCGCTGATGGCGTGCGAGGTGCTTCACATGCCCTTTCCTGCCCGACCTGCACAAGAAGAGGAAACCTTCGGAACTTCCATGAAGAGCGCCATCATCCCCACTGCACACTGCTGGAGAAACCAGGCTCAGAGCCAGCAGTTACTCACCCCAAGTTACTCAGCTGAGAGGGGATGTGCCTGACTCCCCAGCACATGTGTCATGCATGGGTCACCTGCACCCGTGATGGGGGATGGAGGTGAGATACATGGAGCTGTGGTTCCCAGGCTCCAGCACCTCCTGGGAGCTGGGTGAGAGTGTGCACACCCAGGCCTCAGGGTCAAGTGTGGGGTGGCTCAGAGTGCACTCTGGGTGAGCCCTTCCCTAAGCAGTGGGCCAGCAGGTGAGTGTGCAGCCCTCCCTCTGGCAGGCTCTCCATAAACCACTGGCTGGTGGGTAGCCTGGCCTGGGCTCGACATGCTCAGGACTGCCAATGCCTGCTGTGAGATCTTGGGGCAAACTGCTAAGTCCTCCAGTCTTGGCTCCCCAAAGCCCCCTCCGAGGATGACACATAAGCAGCCCTCACACAAAGGGCCTGCTCTCATGGCCAGCTATGAGTACATTAGCAGGGAAGCTGGTCTCGATCTAGACAGCTCTTTGTCTGGACCACGTACACTGGGTTCAGTTGAGCATGGCAGCAAGTGTGGGGGGCCACCTACCCCTCAAAGTCCTCGTTGAGCTGTTCGCAGAAGCCGTTGATGCTGGTCCAGTTCAGCTCCTTGTTCAGGGGGTTCGTGGCTCTGTCTGTAGGAGGAGAGGGAGTCAGTGTGGCCCAGGCAGCCCCCGCTCTGAGTGCAGATGTTCCGTGGGGGAAAGAGACAGATGATCATGTGACTGCTGGCTTCCCTGCAGCTGCCCACCAGTGAACCTCACTTTTAGAGTCTGTGCCCAGGTCACAGTTTCCAGCCCACTGCCTCCCCTGCAGGTGGTACCCCACCATGCCAACTTCACCTTCTGATTCTGCTCATGAAAACTACAGCCCCATCATCCTCATAGAATTTGTGCTCAGAGGTCCAGAGGTCAGGGAAAAAAAGGCAGGGGGCCCAAGACAGCTAGGTGCTTAATAAAGTGTGACACAGGGAAGAAAGGGGGGACCTAGGTTAGCCTGGAGCCAGGGAGGTGGAAATGAAGCAGAAACTGAATAGAGCTACCCAGGCAGGGAGGGCTGGCTTTGATCAGCTCAGGCTGCCAAGGAGACACGTGGATCCCCGCACTCCAGGCAGACCATGAAGGGCTTTGGAGGAAGTGTGGATTTTACCCCCACGCTGGGGTCAGAAAGCTCAGCTTCCCAGGAGAGGCTTCGGTCACCTCCTCCAGGCAGTCCTCTAGCCCTCCGCTCCTGCCCAAGGGGGCAAAACTGGGTCAGTTCTCTGTGTCCCCCAAGCTGTCCCTCATGGTGGCCTAGCCACTTGGGCACACACCTGCCTCCCCTCCTTGGATGAATCAGTGAATGAAGGATCAGCTGCACCAGGAGGGGTTGGGTTTGAGGATAGCTGATTCAGGAATGGGTAGTGGCCAGGACAAGGCAGACACATCTACAGGAAAGGATGACAAACAAAACTATGCCGGGGATGTAGCTCAGTGGTGCTGCTGCCTGCCTTGCAAGTGCAAGGACCTGAGTTTGATCCCTGGTTCAAAAACACAAAACAAAACCCAAAAAACCCCAAACAAACAAACAAAGAAGACCGGGTTACCTCCAACATCGGTTAGACAGCAATCTACTAGGTCACATAACTTCTGTACTTATAAAATTGGGGTGGAATACGGACGAGCTTCAGGTGTCAAAACTCTTCAGGCTCATTCAGGCCTTGGGAGAGCCACAGCAGGGCCCTCGCTTCCCCATAGCCTTCTCCTGGCTTCCCTATCTCCAGCCAGTTCTGCCAGGTCAAGCACTGAGCTGGGGTGTGATGGGAACATAGCCCAAGAGGATGGGTAGGAGGAGGCTGGAGACCAGTATGGGACACCTGCCCAGTTATTAGGGCCCTGTGCTGTGACCAGGGTGCCTGAGGCCGGGATCCCTATGTCTGGCAACCATTCACTCCACTCACATGTATTCAATAAACATTCTAGGTGCTGGAGCTACAGCAGCCAACAAGACAAAACCCTCCTAAAGCTCAGGCCCAGAAGAGAAACAATGAACACTCAGGTTAACAAATAAACACAGAACACTACAATGCTGTGAGGTGAACAGAGGAACACCCACCAAAGTTTTGGCTGCTTCCCAGATGGGCCCTCCAGGAGGCGTGGCTGGACAGGGATCAGAATGAAGTGTTTCCTCTCTGGGTACAAATATCGACTCTGAGAGTCCTGTCGGACCCTCCAGTCCCTCTGAGGAACAGAAAGACTGAGCAGAAGGTCAGTTCTGCTGACCTCTGGGGATCTCAGCAATGCCCTCACTCTGGGCAGGAGAAGGTATCTATCTTCTCTGCTTCCCAGTCTCCCCAACATGGGCCAAAGGCTGGGCACGACAGCCTGGAATCAGACAATGAAAGGGACACTGCCTGGTCAATATGAAGTTGTGGGGACCCTAAAACAGGAAGTCCCTTCAAGTGTGAAAGACATGTGGCCCTGAGTGAGGGTGGGGAAGCTGAGTCTGGAGCCAGCTCTTGAGTCAGAAACTGGCGACAGGAAGCACTGTCCTCACGAGACACCAGCTTGCTTCCCTGCAACTGGCTTCCATTGAGGGCCTCTGAGTCCGAGGGGAGCTGACCTGCCTCCCAACCCCTGGGTCCCCGGTCCTCTCAACTTGACCTAGTAGAGCACCCTTGAAGGCAGCAGGGGACAGCACCAGGGGAGAGACAGAGCTATTTCACAAGAGCATGTGACTCCACCCTGTCACTCCACAGTGGTGACGATGTCATCATTTACCCCACCAGAAGCTCCTCTTTACTTTCAAAACTCCACTAGAAAAAAGTTCACATTTTCTATAACGCAACGAAGAAAAACAGAAAAAAACCACCTGAGCATTAACCTGTTAGGGTTAAGTATCTCTAACTCCTGCCTGTTTCTGGCTTCTGGTCTTTCAGAAAATCCCTAGTATCTAAACCTTGAACTGTTTTCCGGTGTTGGTGATGGAACTCAGGGCCACATGCAGGCCAGGCAAGTGCTCCACCGCTGAGCGACACCCCCAGCCCTTACTGGACGCTGTTTTGCATCCCGTAGAGCTGACATCCTACAGCTTATCTGAGATCAGTCAGCTAAGGCCCTGCCTATCGCCCCAAGTTGCTGATGAGACCTGGGCACTTGTGGCATTCTGAACAGTCAGAGGCCGCTGAGTGCCTCCTTTCCATCCCCTCCCCCACCCCATGGGCCGGATCCCTCTGAAACATCCCCAGGGAATGTGTGATTCTGAGGCCAACTTCAGGGGTCAACTCTGCTCAAGATTGGCCTTGAGCCCAAGCCATACTATGTAGCTCCTGGAGTGCCCAGGCCCTAGACAGATTAGAGGCCTAGCTGATGACCTGACACAGACAAGGTTCCAACAGGAGGAAAAGCCTTGGGAAAGAGCTGTCACTAGAGCGGGAAAAGCAAACCACTGCTTTCAGGGGCAGAGTCCAGGGATGTGAGGACCGAGGATCCCCTGGGACAGGGAGCTGCGGTGGAAGCTTGTCTGGTAAGAAGCGGCCTCTGAGGAGACACAGGAAGAGGTGCAGAAGCCTCCAAGCAGGAGCTGCGAAAGGAATCCTGGATAGAGGTGCAGGAAAGAAGGGCTGGGCTGGGGGTAGTGACAGTGAACTGGACTTACTTATGTAGTCTGAGACGGGACTCTCCTAAGCCTGTAGGGTCTGGGGGTTTGTCACGGTGTGGCCAGTGCTTGGGGGCAGCTGGGGGATCAGATGGGGCAGGGAGTCCTCCCCTTCCTGGACAGGGAAGGAGCACATCTGAGAACAGTTGCAGGCTCAAGGATCGGACAGGTGGGAACCACACAGCGCAGGGCCAAGAGGGAAAGATTTGGGGCTCAAGAAGGGTCCGTCCCCGGCCCCGTCCCCGTCCCCGTAGGAGATGCAGTCCTGGGACAGCTCACTTGCTCCCTCCTGGCGCCAAGGGAGACTTGGGAGGCCGCACTTCGAAGAGGCAGCCTGGGCCTGAGGGAACTGGGGCTGCTCTCCGAGTCGCGGAGGTTCCAGGTGAAGCTCGCACAACTGGCTGGGTCTTCTCCCCGTCCGGGTCCAAGGGGTGGATTTGGGGCACCTCCCCTCCTGGGCCGGGGGCGGGGCGTGAGGAGGGGGCGCCGCGTA